ATCAAGCACAGATGCTGATTTCAACACCCCTAAACCCCTAAACCCTAAACCCTAAACCCCTAAACCCTAAACCCCTAAACCCCAATCTTTTCAGAAATCCTAAGTCCTAAGTTCTGCCCATGTACGGAGAAGCAACAGATCCTTCAAGGAGTTGAAGAGATGCCTCAACCGCCATCCTCGGACATGCACTTGGAGGTTCATGGGTAGTGATAAGTGAGTTTATAAGTAGGGTAACTGTACTTATAACCCATATTAGGGGACTTATAACTCCACTTATAGGTACCCACGAACCTCCAAGCAGGCCGTGTGCACATCTTCAGCTCCCTTTTCTACACGCAGCTGGCCAGTGGGGGCTGGTCCAAGGCACGAGTGGCTGCAGTGGTTTCGAATGTCGGTTCCCTTGTCGGGGACCTTTGCAAACGGCGGTTGGCAATGCAACAACAGAAAAGCAGCATAGCTCTCTTCCCATTTAAAACTCCCCCCCATGTGTGGCGGAGCGCTTTAAGTTGGAGTTTTCGTGGTGCAGTTGCCATCTTGCTTTGGGTGTTATGCTTACTGTGGTGTAGCCTGTGCGCAATAGCCGTATCGTGTGTGCAAGAACCTGGTAGGCCAAGTTGCCAACTACGGCATTCTTGATTTGTTCTTTTCTGTACTATTCATTCCATGACGCACGGTGGTATAATACAATCCGTGCCCACTGGACATGATCAGATCGTACGTGATATGCACCATGTGGGGCAGCCGCGAGCGGGGGCCGGCGCTGTTGTGAGAGGTGAAGACCTGGACGAAAAGTCTCAGGTCGGATGGCATGGAGGGATTCCAGCTTGAGGTGTAGAGGTTTATGGTGGAGGAATTCAAGATTTGGGTAGTTTTGTCCCTTTTAGGGTCCTTTGTTTAAGGGTGCCGTACTATATTGGGGACCTAAAAAGGGACCCTAATTTAGAGAACTACCCATTTGGCGTCAAGAGTTTCGGGTCCAGGATTCGAGATCCGAACTTAGCAGTCTTTTTTTGTGGTTGCGGTGTTGGGATTTCAGGTGGCCTCGGCTTGTGTTCGGCTTGAGCACATCATTTTGGACCAGAGGACGCGTGCTTCCTTCGTACCGCTCCCTAACCCCCCAGGTACCTGCTATATACATATATATATATATATACATATATATATATATAAACATATATATATATATATATATATATAGGGCACTAGAGCCCCTAGGGCCCTATATGGTAGGTACCTGGGGGATTAGGGGCTGTCTCAACGTCTCCAGTCTGCGGCACTCTCCGATGCGACTCCAGGCAAGAGTCCCCTGCGGGAGTTTTTGCCAAAGACTTCCTCTTCGACTTGAACTCAGGACTCTGCAAGCAATGAGTCAGGGGAGCAGATGATCATTGCGTGTGCTGACGTGGCTCCTTGCGTAAGTGCTACACATCCCTAACCCACAATCCCTAAACCATCCTACAGCTCCGTATACAGCCCGCAAAAGTCACCCTGCACAAAATCCTTGTTCTCCTCCTTCCACTCCACGCCCCCAAACCAACCAGCAGAACTTAAACCCTACACCCCAATCCCCAACTCCTTGTTCCCTAACACCTCAACCACCCTAAACCCAGGTCCCGGCCCATGATCCCGTGACTGGGCACTGGTGGTTGGCCCTTGTTGTGCATCCGCTGCCGCCTCAGGGGGGCTCGGCGTCAGGGTTCGGGTTGAGGGTTTAGGGTTTGGAGGGTTTGGGGTTTGAGGTTTAGGGTTTAGGGCTTAGGGTTTACACGGTTTAAGGTTTAGGGTTTAGGGTTTGGAGGGTTTGGGGTTAAGCACTAGCATACAGGGTCAACCCTTGCACCCAGATCCTGCAATGTCAAAGAGAACCCTCGTAGTAACCCTCATGGAACCCCCCAAGCCGCAAGCGCCGACAGGTGGGCGGCAGGTAAACCCCAAGCTGGCGTCATGGACGTCCCGACCTTCACGCCGATTCCTGAGCCGAATTCAAGATGAGGGTTTTAGGCAGGGGTGGTTTATATAGCCACGGCGATGATGATCCTGAGCCTTGTGGCTTCTGAGGTGAAAATTGTGCATATAGGGCTTTCGGGATTTAGGAGTGCTTAGGTTCAAGATCATCTGCGCAAAGTCCCACTACTGATGTTTCAAGGAACGTAAGACCCTTATGTTTACAGGTGTCTTTGAGCTTAGTCGAAATCCTTACTAGTACCAGGAGAAGTGATAGTCATGGTAGCTGTGGCAGTACCAGCAGCAGCAGGAGTCGTAGAAGAAATAGAATAGAAGTAGAAGTCTTAGCAGTAGTAGTCGTCGTCGTGGTCGTGGTCGTAGTCGTAGTGGTAGTCGTAGCAGCAGCAGCAGCAGCAGCAGCAGCAGCAGCAGCAGCAGCAGGAGGAGCAGGAGGAGCAGGAGGAGCAGGAGGAGCAGGAGGAGCAGGAGGAGCAGGAGGAGCAGGAGGAGGAGCAGGAGGAGGAGCAGGAGGAGGAGCAGGAGGAGGAGCAGGAGGAGGAGCAGGAGGAGGAGCAGGAGGAGGAGGAGGAGGAGGAGG